GCACACTATACCCTAATAAGAAAACCTCCTACCTCTTTTCGTCCTTAAGGGCAGTAATAAGACACCAACTGAGTTTTTGCATCAAAGGTGGCAATTGGGTCAGAGAAAGAAATAGACTCCAGCGCTAAGGGAAGATAGCAGTAATGCACAAAAACCCTAGGAATGACTGCAAATGCATATTCCAGCACAAGCTGAGATGAAGCCAACTGTGATTGTCTAAGACTCTGCAGCCAGGGCAACAAACAGGCTTGGAAATGATGTGAATATTTGTGTATCAGTTATATAGTCATTTCCTCTTGCTGCTGTAACAAATTACCACACACTTAGTAGTTTAAAGGAACACGAATTTGTTATCTTACAGTTCTGGAGGTCAGAAGTCTGAAATCAGTTTCACTGGACTAAAGTCAAGGTGTTATCAAGGCTGCTTCCTTCTGAAGGCTCTGAAGGGAAAATCTGTGCCTTTTTCAGCTTATAGTGGCTGCCTCTATTCCCTGGCTTGAGGCCCCTTCCTGCATCTTCAAAGCACATTCCTCCCCCCATCTCTATATCCACCATCACTAATTGTCATATGTGATTCTGACCTTTCTGCCTCTCTAAGGGCATTGTGATCACATCAGGACCTCCCAGATAATTCAAGATAATCTCCCCATCTCAAAATCCTTAATGTAATTACATTTGCAAAGTCCCTTTTGACATATAAAATGATATTCACAGGTCTCAGGGATTAGTATGTGGGTTTATCTAGGGAATCATTATTCAGAACATCTCGCTCCATATAGCCCTGTACTCTCTAATACCATAGACACTAGCTACGTGTTGACATTGAGTACCTGCAATGCAGCTCATTTGAACTGAGGAATGCTGTAAGGGTAGTGAAATTTAAAGACTTGGTATGAAGAAAAAGGAAAGATTTTATTAATAATTTTTATGTTGATTACATATTAAAATTATAAAATCTTGGATCTATTGAGTTAAATAAGCTACCTTATTAAGATTAAATTCATCTGTTTCTTTTTGTTTTTTCAAGTGCAGCTACTAGAAAATTTTAAATTACATCTGTGGCTAACATTATATTTATATTGGAGCAGTCCTACGACAGACCATAAAGGAGGCAGGGTGACATTAACTTTCAGTTGTTTTATTTTTGCCTTACTTATAAGAGAGCCCAGACTTTGGAAACAACATTTCTTTTTTCTCTAGAGAGAGCTGCTAAATTCCTGCAATTAAGATTTCAAGTCAAGAGGGATATTTTATTAGGGATATGCACAATTAGGTAAGTGTAACAATAAAAAAAATACATTTATCCAGCAACACGCATTCTAATAAAGCATTTTCATTAATACATTCTTTCATTAAGTCCTCATTACAGCCTTGTAAGAGATGTATTATTCCAACTTTTTAGAGAAGAAAATGGAGCCTAAAGGAAATTAACTTGCAGGAGGAGCACCCAGTCAGTAAGTGATAAGCTAGAACTTGAGCCCACATCTATGTACTTCTGCACCCAAGGCTGCCTGGCTGATTTCCTGGCTTGGGTTTAATGGTTTAATCAGGCTCACTCTACTTCCTGAGTGGTTTTACTTTCAACCCTCCTAAATTTCAGTCTCAGGATTTTCCCTTTCTTCCTTAAAGTTCTGCTCCTTTGCTATTCTGAGCACATTTTTATTACAGTTTTCTAAAAAATTATTTCTTAACTTTGAATGCATATTCAAAGTTAAGGGTGTATTTCCTACATAGTTATTTAAAGAAGAAGATTTTCTCCTATATCACACTTCCTCAGCACCCAGAGGCACACCTGGTGCCTAGCTTGATGCTGGGCCATCTGGTGGAAGAGCCCTGATACCAATGACTGTCTCTCCTCGTTCTGTTCACCACCCAGAGCTGCATACATAGGTAAGATGTTCAGATCTGACCTCTAGCCAGAGTAGATACCCTCAGAGAAACCAGGGCTATAGTGGTTTAAATTGCCTCCCAGCTTTCCTCTGATTGGTCTTTTGGGGTTGAACAGGCAATTTTTCACTTTGGCAGAGGGTCACTGTAAGAAGAATTAGCAAATGCCCACTAAGAGGGAAGCGGACACTAAGATCATGTAGGATGCCCCTTACCCAGGCAGCACTCCTATGGCATAATCAGAAATATATATTTGCTTTTTTCCCCAGTTCCTGACACAGGACTCCTTTAAATCCCTTGGAATATCCTGAGTGATAGAAGTGATAAGAGCACCTTTTGTTCAAACGAGGCGATTCTTGGATTCTTGAAAACCCCTAGCTAGCTTCAGGATAGGGGCTGGTCTCCAGAAAGACCAAACTTTGATTAGAAGCTTAGAGCTTTCAGCCCTACTCCCCAACCTCCTAGGAGGAGAGAGGGCTAGACATTGAATTAATAACCACATACTCATGCCTGTGTGATGAACAAAATCTCCATAAAAACCCCTAAGTGTCAGGGCTTAGAATTTCTGAATTGGTGAACACATCTACATTCTGGGAGGTGGCGCACTCCAACTCCATGGAGACAGAAACTCGTGGACTCTCTGAGGGCATTGTGATCACATCAGGACCTCCCAGATAATCCAAGATAATCTTGCCATCTCAAAATCCTTAATTTAATTACATTTGCAAAGTCCCTTTTGACAATTTTGACACATAAAATAATATTCACAGGTCTCAGGGATTAGGACGCGGGTTTATTCTAGGAGGTCATTATTCGGACCATCTCACTCTCTCATACTGTAGACATTAGCTACATGTCGTTATTGAGCAGGTGCAATGTAGCTCATTTGAATGGAGAAATGCTGTAAGGGTAGTGAAATTTAAAGTCTTGTGAAAAAAAGGTAAAAGATTTCATTAATAATTTTTTATGTTGATTAAATATTAAAATTATAAAATCTTGGATCTATTGAGTTAAATAAGCTATCTTATTAAGTTTAAATTCATCTGTTTATTTTTGCTTTTTCAAGTGTAGCTACTAGACAATATTAAATTACATCTGTGGCTAACATTATATTTCTATTGGGGCAGGACACTTCTGGACCTTCTGGACCTTAGCCTAGGTACCTCTTTATCTGGCTGTTCATTCCTATCCTTTATCATAAACCAGTGAATGTGAGTTAAGTGTCATCCTAAGTTCTGTAAACCATTAGGGCAAATTATCAAACCTGAAGAGGGAGGGAGTTACGGGAACCCCGAATTCTTGGCCAGTCAGAAGTGCAGGTGGCCCAGAACTTGCAACTGTCATCTAAAGTGGGGGCAGTCTTGTGGGATCTGACACTAACTCCAGGTAGATGTGTCAGAATGGAGTTGAATTATTGGACACCCAGTTGGTGTCAGAGAGTTGCAGCAGTGGTTATTACAAAAGATACCATGCATCTGGTGTCAGGAAGGAAAAAACACACCAGCTTATCGGCTATCAGAAAGGAAAGAGAGAAAGAATAAAGTAAAATGGGGCAGTGTCCTGCTCATTTTCTGCTGCCACATAAAAATTATAGCCTTTAGATGGAAAAAGACACTGAAAGAGTAAATAGTCCAACTACCTCATTTTACACAAGTAAACCAGGGTCTAAAAGGTTAACTGACTTCTGTAAAATTTCAGCAACCTAGTATCAACTTCTTATTGAACTCCCCTTTCTGATGGTTCTTGACTTGGACAACACTGTTTTAAAGGATGACAGAGAAATAGTAAATAAAACAATGTAGCTTTGATTTCCAAACCACACTATAGAGGAGTAGCATCTTGCTCCCAGAATGAGGCTCTAAAATAGGCACATGAAGATGAAAATTATGTACTGTCAAACTAATCCCTGAAAAGCCTTAAGAGAGTGTCACATTGGAGACCAATGTAACTTCCATCAATAAATCCCACATGGTGTTTTGTTTTGTTTTGTTTTGTTTTCCAGAGCTGGAACAGGCCGGCTCATCAGTTGAGTACCAGATTAATTAATTGGCTTGAGGTTAGAGAATAAAATGGCACAATCTTTAAACCCAGGATCACACATGGAACTGCAAAAAAGGATACATGTAAAAGGCACCAGGTTCTGAAACTAATGGCAGATTCCTTTCTCTCATCTTTTGCTCTTACTCCAGGACACTGAGTAGAATGACTCATATTAATTAAATATTCATCTCTCCTCCCTGCACTCGTGGTTTAGGGTTTATTGCTTAGCTAGAAACTAAGCTTCACAAGTGCATGAATCCTTGTTTTGTTCATGGCTATCTCCTAAGTGCCTAATAATATACCCGTCACATAAATGTTTGTTGAATAAGGGAATGAATGTATTCTTTTTGTCCAGACTCTGTAGTTGAATTCTCATACATTAAAGCTATTGAGGTCTAGCTTATGGCTTTCACTTCTTGGGAAGTTGTGGTGCTATATATAGCCAGAAAAATTCAAACAGAACTATGCATAAAAGTATTTTTCACCATTCAGGAGGTTCTTGGAGTCCCAGATTAAGATTTCCTGGTACTGTCAATCTTAATCTATGACACTTCAGCAGAATGACACTTTTGTGGCTTCAGAGACACTGACACTTACTTTCATAGCTGCATAGGACTTTAAAACTTCCCACAAGTGCTACAAACAAAAGGTACTCTTCAAGTGCTGTCAACCTAAAGGTTAACGGCTTGAAGAGACCCTGGGCTAAGGAAGCACAAGCTGGAGACACCAAAATGATCTTCGCAACTCGCCTCTGTATTTTCTGCCCTGCTCCTAAGCCACCCTGTTGGCTGACTGGCCCTTCTCCACAGATGTCGTCTTGAGCCTCTTACAGAGTTTCAGCACTGATATTAAATGACAAGATGGATCACCTACAGGACCACCTTGGATCCCCAACCAGCCCGATCAAGCATTGACACTGCATTTGTCACCACCAGCTCTGATGGTTTGGACATGTAGAAATGTATTGCAGGAAAATATGCAAACAGCTGCTATAAGGTGAGCTGATCGAGACAACCGCCAGCAGGCAGAGGGGAAGGCATAATTAATGGGCACCCTTCAGCAGAGCTCAGAGCAGACCAAATGCTATTGCAGAAGGCTCAAGAATGAGGCGAACAGACTAGCCAGTGCTCCAGGATGTCTGTGGCTCTTTATGAGTGAAGAGAAAGGGTAGAGACTGAAGACAGAGCCGGGGACAGTGACAGGCTTGGGGAAGAACAGCTGATTCAGCAGTCCCAAGGTGAGTCATCCCATGCATTCCACACCCAGGTAGAAAGTGCTCATTAGCAGAACATAATCTCCCAACCTGCATGGTGATCGTCTGTTTGTGAGAATAATAACCATTACAGATTGTGCTTGCACTAAAGCAGATTTAGCAAAGCCTCAGGAACAGAATATACTTCATAGGGTAAGAAATCCAGCTTGGGAAAAAAACTGACCTATCTATGCATCTGTAATGGGTTGAATAGTGTCTCCAAAATATATGTCCACCGAGAACCTCAAAATGTGTCCTTCCTTTGGATATAGGGTCTTTGCAGTTGTAGTTAGTTAGGACAAGGTCATACTGGATTAGGGTGAAGCCTAAATCCAATATGACTGATGTTCTTATAATAAGAGAACACACAGAAACACATACCAGGAAGGCCATGGAAGAAAAATGTATAGTTTGTCAAATGAGGATGAGTTCAAGAAGGGGTCCTACATAGTGAAGTGGAGTATTAGTTTTTAAGCCTGATTAAACACTTGGTGGATCTTTCCCCCAAACATTGAACTTAGTATTATAGTGCTTTCATTCTTGTACAAAATGGTACAACATGTAGGAGTACACATGGAGGGAGAAGAGCCTTCTTCTGTTGTATCAGTTTCTGCTCTAAAGTCAGGAAAATCATCAGCCATAAAGCTCATAGGGAGGGAAAAGAACAATACATAAGCAAAATCATCAAGGCTGAAGGGGAGAACTCAGAGGATTATGTGACTAATACTCACTTGTCAGTGATTTGTACATGGGTCTGGCCATTTACTATTCAACAAATGCCTAAGCCGTGTAAGAGACCTCAAGAAAACAGAAGTGATTCTGCTATAGGAAACCACTTTTTAAAAGAAAAAGAAGCAAACAGAGGTGCTTTACAGGAAAACTTTTTCTTTTCTTTTCTTTTTTTTTTTTTTTTTCTTGAGATGGAGTCTCGCTCTATTACCCAGGCTGGAGTGCACTGGCACGATCTCAGCTCACTGCAGCCTCTGCCTCCCAGGTTTAAGCGATTCTCTTGCCTCAGCCTCCCAAGTAACTGGGACTACAGGCAGGTGCCACCACGCCCTGGTAATGTTTTTGTATTTTCAGTAGAGAAGGGGTTTTGCCATGTTGGCCAAGCTGGTCTCGAACTCCTGACCTCAGGTGATCCGTCTGGCTCAGCCCCCAATAATTCCAGTGAGCCACTGCGCCTTGGCCTAGGAAAACTTTTATCATCCTAAAATCTTCTTATATCATCACTCAAGCAAAAGAAAGCTCTAGAACTGCCTGAGAGAACATACTGCAATGAAGCAGATCATGTATCTGTGCTGCCCAATACAGTTGCCACCAGCTTTATAAAATAACTGAGCACTTAAGATGTGCCCAAGGAGACTGAAGAAATAAATTTTTAATTTGATTTAATGTTGATTCAATTTAAACAACCACAATTGGCTAAGAGACTCCAATGCATCACATGCCTCTAGAGTCACAGAAAACTGCCTGTGGAAAAAGTCTTGAGACATTTCTCACCAACTCTAGGATGAGACTGGTTCCTCAAGTAAAAACAGATTAGGAAGCAAATCACCAAAGCAATTATGAGCAAGAAAAAAAAAAAAAGCTAGAGGTATCCTACCTCCTGATTTCAAAATATATTACAAAGCTACACTAATCAAAACAGTATGGTACTCATATGAAAACAGCCATATGACCAAACAGAAGGGAGAGCCCAGAAATAAAACCATATATTCATGGTTGACAGGGTTGCCAAGAATATACAATGGAGGAAAGATATGTCTTCAACAAATGGTGCTGGGAAAACTGGCTATATATATGCAAAAGAATAACATTGGACCTTTATCTCATGCCATGCACAAAAATCAAGTTAAAATGGATTAAAGACTTAACCATAAGACTTGAAACCGTTAAATTTCTGAAAGAAAACGTAAGGGAAAATCTTGACATTGCCCTTGGCAATAATTTCTTGGATATGACACCAAAAGCATAGGCAAAAAAAGCAATAATAACCAAATAAGATTATGTTAAACTAAAAAGCTTCTGCATAGCAAACAATATAATCAACAAAATGAAAAGGCAACCTATAAAGTGGGAGAAAATATTTGTGAATCATATATCTGATAAAGGATTAATATCCAACATATATAAGGAACTCCTTCAATTCAGTAGCCAAAAAGCTAATAGCCTGATTTTAAAATGGGCAAAAGACCTAAATAGACATTTCTCCAAAGAAGACATACAAATGGCCAGTAAGTATATGAAAAGATGCTCAACATCACTAATCATCAGAGAACTACAAATCAAAACCACAAAGAGATTTCAGCCCTTTGCCACTGTTAAGATGTTAGGATGGCTATTATCAAAAAACAAAAGATAACAAGTGTTAGATGCCAAGAAAATGGATCGCTTGTATATGGTTCATAGGAATGTAAATTGGTGCAACCATTATGGGAAAGATTATGGAAGTTCCTCAAAAAAATTAAAAATAGAACTATCATATGATCCAGCATATGGTACAAGCATACAGTATAGAACTACCATATGATCCCATTTCTAGATATGTAACCAAAGAATTTAAAATTGGGATCTTGAAAAGACATCTGCATTCCCATGTGCATTGCAGCATTATTCACAATAGCAAAAAACATAGGAGCAGCCTAATGTCCACTGATAGATGAATGGATAAAGAAAAATGGGGTATATATAAACTGTATGTATATATACATACAGTAGCATATTACTCAGCCTTAACAAAGAAACAAATCCTACCATTTTTTACAACAGAGATGAACCTAGAGGACACTATGCTAAGTGAAATAAGCCAGACACAGAAGGACAAATACTACATGATCCCACTTAAATGAGGAATCTTAAAATAGTCAAACTCATAGAAGCAGAGAGTAGAATGGTGGTGTGGGAGGTATTGGACCAAGAGTATAAAGTTTCAGTAATGCAAGATGAATAAGTCCTAGAGATCTACTACACAGCATGGCTTCTGCAGTTAACAATACTATATTCTATACTTAAAAATTTGCTAGGCAGGTAGATCTTATGTGTCCTTATAACAAAATAATAATAACAATAATAAAGATGGCAGAAGGGAACTTTTGAAGATGATGGATAGGTTTGTGACATTAATTGTGGTGATGGTTTTATCGATGTATACTTATTTCTAAACTTATCACATTGTTTACATTAAATATATATGGATTTTTGCTCACCAATACTTCAATAAAGTAGTTTCTTTTTTAAAAAAGGTTAGGGAAACTTCATTGGAATATACCACTATTACATAAAGTACTTCTAGTACATATTCCATACTCTGCAGTGTCCCTACCAGTGGTCAGTAGTACCATCTCCATTTTCTGACCAAGGAAACTGAGGCCCAGCAAGAAGATTATTTGACTTGCCCAGAACCTTGCGGTTTTCAAGGGGCAGAGTCAGAGGTCTGACACCAAAGCTCCTACTCTTCCCACCAAGGCAGGCCATCTATAGCACCTTCCACTCTTAAGGGGTCTGCCATTTCCACTCTCTCTGAACAGACATAAAACAAACAAGTGTATTGTGTCTGTATGTGTCGTTATGTGAGTGTGTAGACTCTGAGGAACAGGTAAGTCTTGGAATCCCTTGAGTGTTTAGTGTGAACCTAGTATGTTTAACTAGCTAGTATCAGGTCAGTACCCTTTAGCCAGCCAGCCTTGTTTTCCATTTGGTCCAGCAAAATGGAATGCCAAGAATAGTGATGGGGCTAACAGGATGTATGAATGCATACTTGTTGAATAACTTATTAGGTAGAAGTAGCAGGTCAAATAAACCTTTCCCCCTCAGATACACTCAGCAACAATTCAGTGTTGTGGCTCTCCTGCTCCTTGGAGAGCTCTTATTACCCCCGGCAGTGGAGACACTCAGAAACCCTAAGACCACAAGTCTTTGTGTTGAAAGAGGCTAGAAGTGCGAAAAAGAGGAAAAATAAGCAAGGGAGTACCTCATTAACAGTATGGAGATTTGAAAGTACAGACTTTGGATAATGACTCTCTGGAGCTCCTGGGCCACTCAGCTTCTCCTCTAACTTCCTGTCTGCCCCCAACAGAGGGGGAGGTCAACTGAGGGGCTGGCTGGGCAATGGAGCTAGCAAATGCTGAAATCCACATGAAGCTATGGTGGAGAATGCCACCGTTCCAAAAGGAAACCACAGCTGGTTGTGGAATGCAAGATGCGGAAGGACTGATGCCTGCCTTCTATGCTGTTGCTATTGCGATTTCTGCAGCATTATGAGGAAGGTTTCTGAAGAAGTGAGTTTTGCATCTTTTAAGAAAGTGTTTCTATATCTGGATATGTACTTGATGAAGTTAATAGAGTAATTCTTGGTGTGTCTCTTTAACCCACAGGAAGGTTAACAGAGGCTTTCATCGTTGGTCCTGTAAGCCTACCCTGAAAGGAACTTTCTGGAAAGAGTCCCCTCTTCCTTAAAGGCCTTATAGAATCTTGAGGTTTTGAGGTTGATATGTTTCCACACCCAAATAACCCCAAAATAGTTCATCCTATTGAAATTCTTGGTGTCCTGGAAAGCATTCTATGGAAAACCTGCCTGGTCAGTCAAGCCCACACATGAGTCTATGCAGACATCTCCTCCAACCTGTCAAGCCCCAGGAACCTCCTCTAACGTCTCAAGCCCCAGGATCTAAGGACCGATTTTTAGCACAATCTCACACAACAAAACTATTGGGCACCTAATAATAGAAACAAGCGAATGAATGTTTTGACTGTGACAAAAAAAATGGTTTAGTAACTTTTTATAAACGCATTGTTTCTCTCATTGTCTCAGGGTACTGTCTCAGGGTTATGCCAAAATTAATTTTAAAACTATCTGCTTAAATGTGTCCTTGGACAATAATCATCAGTAAGTCCTAACTTCACCCCCTTTCTGGTAGCGGTCTGACGTTCCTTTGCAGAGTTTTGCTTCCATCGATAAGTTACTTTAAATAAAAACTTAAAAA